TTATAATCCACCTATTAAATTTATTATAAGAGCTGGAATCGAATGGAATCGAACACAGAATCGTTAGGATCCTTAATACATACATGTATGTATTCCAAATCGAATTCTTATACTTGGAGATAGCTTTCAAGCGACCTGATATTTCTCCAATGGGCAAAGTGGTGAAGGTTCATGTGGTTTTTCTTAAACAATCATGATGACAAAAATATAATATCTAGGAATGTGTTCTCATTCATTGCTTATGATCTAATTTATTTTACCACAATTCAGATTTGTCTGAGTGAATAGGTTATTACACGACTACCTCCTACTGTAAAATCGATCGTTTTGGATCTAGTACTAATCCTGAGTTATCATTCGGGATGTTCAAGAAAAAAAAATGTCATGTTGATGCCAAACAAATGAAATTATCAAAATTCCATTTTTTTCTCACTATACTCCATCCTCTCTTCTACTATAAAGTTTAGGAAATAACAAATTACTCTGATATATGTATGACCATGTGAATGTTATAATTTAAAAACATGTTATCTTACTACTTACATTTTATTAGAGCGTTCCTCGCCTCAATTAGTTTTCGTATCTTCTCGTCCTTTTCCCGTCTTTCTTCAGATGGAAGATGCATATGACCAACATATTCACCTTCAATCTTCTTCAGTGTGCTTGAAAAAGCTATTTTAATTATATCATCGTCTGGTACTAAGGTGAGATAATCCAATCCTAGAATTTTGTAATAACCTTTGGGATCGTGAAGCCTTTGTGATTCTTGTGGTTTTTGCGGTGGAATAGGTCGTTTCTGATCTGACCGTTCTGTACTGTTCAGTGATGGGGATTTTTTTCGAGGTTGCTCATAGGTGGGTTTTGACTTATGTTTGACCTTTTGTTCTGTTTTGATATATGCCGTTCTTTCCGGTTTTCTATACGATGATTGTTTTCGTTCTTCTTCGTAAACTCTCTCGGGAGGAGGTGTTTTTATGTCTGTGAGGGTGTGTTGCTTATTGTCTGTGAAGGTGTGGCGCTTATAATTGTCGAGGGTGTAGCAGTAGTTATGG